CTTGTTGCCGGAATTGAAGCAATGACAAAGCTTTATGTTGCATTTCCAGTGCCTCATCTTCTTTTAATTCCTAAAACTTTAACTCTTCTTCGCTTTTCCTAAAAAGGAGTATTTCGGATATTGTAAATTCATCCTCAGTTATGTTACATAAGAAAGGGTTTATGAAGTATGCAAACATACATTTAAATAATTTCAAATCGGCAAATCTTTTTTCAAAATCTGCTTTTAAATCATATGCAATATTTTTTTTTGAGATCATTAATAAAAAGACGTAGTTTAGCTTCAAAACTTAAAATAATTTGCGACAAATGAAAAATATTTTTATTGTCTCCTTGTAGAGACAAATTCAAGTTTTGCAAATGTTCCATTATCTTGGTAAAGAGCATTAAGTCAGAAAGCCAATTTTCATTCTCCAATTGCGGGTAATGTTCCGATCTCAATTTGCGTATGTCTATATAAAAAGAAGCCTCGGATAACTGCATCCCCACACGTTGACGACCCCCGCAAACGGAACAAGGACTATGAATTACGAATATGCACCTGGAATGTCCGGACCCTCTATAGGGAAGGTGCCTCTATCCAACTGCTGGATGTACTAACAAAATACCAGGCTGACATCACCGCAGTTCAGGAAATGCGATGGACGGGGCATGGCTGCAAAACATTTGCAGCATGCGACATCTACTACAGCTGCCATGAGAAGGCGCACAAATTTGGTGTCGGATTTGTGGTTGGGCGGAGACTCCGACACCTTGTCTCCCGGTTCACGCCCATCAGTGAGCGAATCGCCACAATCCGCTTAAAGGCGAAATTTAACAACATCAGCCTAATTTGTGTACACGCCCCGACGGAAGAGAAGGACGACGAGACTAAGGAGCTTTTCTATGAGCGTCTAAGAGAAGCGTATGAACGCTGCCCCCGCCACGATATTAAAATCGTTCTGGGCGACTTTAACGCCAGGGTGGGCAAAGGAGGCATATTTGGTCCAACAGTCGGAAAATTCAGCCTTCATGACAACACCTCCGATAACGGAGAGAGGCTGATCGACTTCGCCGCGGCACGGAACATGGTAGTCAGTAGTATCAGACACTAGCATCGAACATCCACAAAGCAACTTGGGTGTCCCCTGATCAAAGAACAAAGAACCAAATTGATCATGTTGTGATAGATGGAAGATACGCTTCGAGCGTTCTTGACGTGCGCTCTATCCGAGGTGCCAACATCGACTCGGATCACTACCTTGTTGCAGCTAAGGTCCGCATGCGCCTCTGTGCAATAAAAAACGTGCGGCAGGCAACGCGACGGAAGTTCGACATCGCAAAGCTGCAGTCACAACGGACAGAAGAAAAATTTAGCAACCGACTCTCAATCCTGCTTAATCAAGCAACTCCTCATCGCCTGGACATAAATGAGCAGTGGGACTCCATCTCCCAATCCCTTCGTACCGCTGCGGAAGAGGTTGTTGGTTACTACCAACCGCGCAGAAACAACTGATACGACGAAGAGTGCCGCGCGGCTAGTACAGAAAAATACGCAGCATACAAAGCTACCCTTCTGCCGGGAGAGAAGGAGGGAAGAGAGACGCTTTTTCAAGAGAAAGAAAAGAGAGGCAGAAAGGCGTGAGTGCGAAGAGCTTGAGATGCTGGCAGACAGGAACGCGGCTCGAAAATTCTATCAGAAAATAAGGCAGCAATCAAATGGTTTTAAGACCGGGGCTAGCTCATGTAAAGATGAAGATGGAAAGCTGGTAACAGATGTCCATAGTACACTTGAGATATGGAGGGAACACTTTTCATTGCTTTTAAATGGCGAAACAGATGGCATTTGATGAAGGAGAACCCGAAGCAATGCATAGAGACGAAGCTCACGTCCCTCAACTGGACGAAGACGAGGTGAGAACAGCAATAAAGCGGCTTAAGAACAACACAGCCCCCGGAGCTGACGGTATACCGGCTGAGCTGTTCAAAGCCGGTGGCGAAGAGTTGGTGGGGCGTATGTACCAGTTTTTGAGCAGAATTTGGTCTTATGAATACATGCCCCAAGAATGGAATCTCAGTATACTTTGCCCAATCCACAAGAAGGGAGATCCCGCCGTTTGCCCCAATTATCGCGGAATAAGCCTTCTTTATATTGCATACAAGGTCCTGTCGACGATACTGTGTGAAAGACTGAAGCCGTACACGAACCAGCGGATTGGACCTTATCAGTGTGGCTTCAGACCTGGTAAGTCCACCATTGACCAGATTTTCACAGCACTTCAAATCCTGGAGAAGACACTAGATAAGCAAATCGACACACACCATATTTTTGTTGACTTTAAAGCTGCTTTTGATAGCACGAATAGGAGCTGCCTGTACGACGCCATGTCCAAATTTGGGATCCCCGCAAAACTAATACGGCTATGTAGAGTGACGTTGAGCACAACCTTCAGTTCCGTCCAAACTGGAAAGGACCTCTCCGCGCCGTTTGAGACCAAACGAGGTTTTAGACAAGGCGATTCACTCTCGTGCGACTTCTTCAATCTGGTGCTGGAAAGCGTAATAAGAGCTGCCAATAAGAGTTCACGCAACATATAAGAGTTCACGCGCTACGGGACACACGTCACTGTTGGCAGATATAACTTTGAAGTAGTGAAGGACTTTGTCTACCTAGGATCCAGCATAAACACCACCAACAACGTCAGCCTGGAGATCAAGCGAAGAATAACTCTTGCCAACAGGTGCTANCCCGCAAAACTAATACGGCTATGTAGAGTGACGTTGAGCACAACCTTCAGTTCCGTCCAAACTGGAAAGGACCTCTCCGCGCCGTTTGAGACCAAACGAGGTTTTAGACAAGGCGATTCACTCTCGTGCGACTTCTTCAATCTGGTGCTGGAAAGCGTAATAAGAGCTGCCAATAAGAGTTCACGCAACATATAAGAGTTCACGCGCTACGGGACACACGTCACTGTTGGCAGATATAACTTTGAAGTAGTGAAGGACTTTGTCTACCTAGGAGCCAGCATAAACACCACCACCACGACAACCTCGAGATCAAGCGAAGAACAACTCTTGCCAACAGGTGCTACTTTGGGCTCGGTAGGCAATTGAAAAGCAGAGCCCTCTCTCTACGAACGAAACTCACGCTCTACAAATCTCCCATCATGCCCGTCCTTTTATATGGCGCAGAATCTTGGACGATGTCGAACAAAGATGAGAAGGCTTTGGGGGCTTTCGAGAGAACTAGTATACGCAAAATCTACGGCCCTGTTTTCGTGGATGGCAGATATCGGAGAAGATGGAATGACGAACTGTATGAGCTTTTTAACGACATGGACATAGTTAAGCGCATAAAAATACAGCGATTGCGTTGGCTTGGACATGTTGTACGCATGGATGACGACTCTCCGGTGAAAAGATCCTTCGACTCCGCACCCATGGATGGACAACGAAAGCAAGGGTGCCCACGAACGCAATGGAAGGACCATGTGCAGCAGGACCTGTCTGCGCTCGGGATAACCAACTGGCGCAAATTCGCGCAGGAGAGAAGCAATTGGAGAAGCTTTGTGGTCTCGGCCCAAACCGACAAAGGGTTGTAGTGCCAAATAAGAAGAAGAAGATATAAAAAGAATAATGAAAAAAACAACACAGTGGAAAAGAATGTCCAGCAAAGAAACTTGTAGTTTAACAAGTAATTTTTAGCAAAAAAAACCCGACTTGGTAAAAAGAGCCAAAATGTTCTAAGCAAAGAGAAAGTAAAAAGAACCGCACTTTGCTAAGCAAAGATCCGCGTTTGCCCACCGCTGTACTATACATATTTGTTTAAACCTACATATGGGGCATTCCAAAGTGACGGGTGGGACATTTTGACTCGTTTTTGCTAAAAATTTTAGCAAATTCTCTTTAACTATTTATTTGGCAAGTGTATAGCTATTAACACTTGAAGTCAGATATCAGTTTAATACGAAACTAATAAAGTATAAAATTGTATTATACAATTTACACAGAAATTTAACATTTTCCAAGCGTGACGGGTGGGACAACGATGACACCCGCTTATCTGAGTTGTTTTATTCGTTTTCCAATTTTAGACAAACTATAAATATTTCGTTCATAGCGGCCGTCCCGAATGTAGTTAGTGGAATGTTAAGTACCATTTTATGCTTTAATTATTATATTAAAAAAAAAAAAAAATAGTTTTTGCTTGCGACGGGTGGGACAACATTTTGTGACGGGTGGGACGAGTCATCATTGAGGACACATAGTTCGTGAGTAAAATAAACACTGGTGGTTTTATGTGAATATTTACTACATTTTTAATAGGGGGACCTCATTTAAAAAATGGGAAACCTAAGAATTTGTATATTACCTTAAAAAAAATCATAATTTGCTGTGACGGGTGGGACATCCAATAAGCATTTTTTGAACGCTTATAACTTCTCACCATAAATGTATTTTTCCAAGAACTTACTACCATTGCAAAGCTCATGAAATTCTTTTTGGATAATTATTTTTTGCATTGCCACCTTTAGTAGATGAGAAATAGTTAGTTAATTTACTGGGTGTAATAGAACAGAGACAACGCGACCTAAAAGATCTTTTGTATCTCTATAAAGGAGTCCCTAACCCAATGTGGCCAAGATACCTTCGGCTTTCCTTATGAATCCTAAAAGGGGCTTGGTAGACGAATTCCTTATAACAAAGGGTTCGACCAACGAAGATTTAAAGTAAATCAGTCTTTGTCTGGCTAAAGCCGGACAGTTACAGAGAATACGCTCCGAAGTTTCATCGGCCTCGAGGCAGAGCCGGCATTCCTGCTCTGTGATCGCCCCTATTCGGTGTAAGTGGAACCGCAATTGGTTGTGACCAGTCAGATACCCAGAAAGTAAGCTGATGTCAATTCTGTTTTTTAGGACGATGTCGTTCCTGTTAAAGGGGTAGCCGAATAGCCTGGCCTGTCTAAGACCTCCCACCGCTCCCCAGTACTTACTGCGTTCTGAGTGTACCCACTCAGTGATTATGGCTCTCGAAGAGGACCAACTGAGACCACAGAATGGTTCAGGTCCCGAAAAGGCAGTAAGCGATCCTTCACGTGCCAACTCATCAGCGATCTCGTTGCCTTCGATTCCAGAATGGCCTGATGAGAAATGGCTAGATGAGAAATGCCTTGAGAACTTGTTGCAAACATATTACAGTATATTATGTATGCATTTATAACAATAAAATAGAGAAGATAATGAAAAATAAATGGATAAGAATCTATTTCTAAAGATTTATTCTACCTGCTTTACTGTTTTTACAGATTTAAACACAATTTATGTATTTTTTTTTATCTGAGGTGTCGTCTTCGCTGGAATGGCCCATATATTACTCGTATTATTTTTAGTCCAAATAGGCTCAGATGTTTGTCAAATGGAGAGTTATAAATTTAAAATGGACAAAATAAGTTATTTAATTTATTTCGATATATTAAACCATATCTTGCATGTGCATATTTCGGTGCTTTTCCAAATTGTATTGTTGTAAACGTGCACAATACAACAATACAATTTCCAAGTTCACCGGAATATGCATTTGCAAGACCATATGATAATACATAAGGGCTATTCGCGATTCGGTGCATAAGAGCTGACAAATTTATGCAATTGCAGAAATATGCCATGGATTGTGAGCCACCTTTATTAAACTGTCATGGTAAAGCTTTTGCAAAACAATTTTTGTGCAACAGCTTTGGTTTTGTTTATGAATGCAATGCATAGCATTTTTATGCAATGGATTTTCGGTATTGCAAATTTGCCAAGCCATGACAAATGCAAATGCGCGCATTTTGTTTGTGTATTGCAAATAATTTGCAATACAAATTTGCAATGCAATGATGCTAGGCCATTTGCACCGGATCGCGAATAGCCCTATAATAATAATATCGTCGATGTTTTTGCACCGACCACCGACCAGTTGCAAAATCGCATAAATCGTCATTGTGACAAAATTTAGATTTGGTAATCCTGAACTCCAGGCATCAAGATTTATGCATAACAATCGTAAAATCGTTATTAAAACAACAGATTTGTAAAATAATAGCTAGAGTAAATACCGCCTATCAAGGCAATGCCTTCCGCTCTCCTGTAAAATTTGAGAGATAGGCGGTTTTGCAATTGATCGATGGGCGGTTTTGCAAAAACATCGACGATATACATTAAAAATATACAAGTAGTACTGATGCATGAAAATTTGGCCAACTAACTTCTGACAAGCCGATAGTTGTATAAACAGGTGGACAAAGGGGGTTTGTTTTTTCTTTACAATAATATTGGAACTACAAAATAGTAATATTTTCAAAACTTGCAATCGCTTGCATGTTTTTTAAATCTTCGGTGGAAAAGTTTTTCCTGAAAAAAATAATCTTTCCTAAAAAACGAGATGTAACTTAAAGTAAATAATCTTTAATTCCCCTTTTCGCTTGCAAATGTAATATAGAAAAACCAGTAAGAGCAAATAAAAGTAGCTGAAAGTAAATGAGAAATTAGTAATTAGTAAAGAAATTACTATATTTTTTTCGAAATTTTTTTATGAAAAGTTTTCTGACTTTTGTAACGTTATACGTCAAAAGTACCCAGCTTTTCGGAATAATTCTCTGGTTTTAGTATCACCGACATATTTTACTGTAAATATCAGTGGTGTTTTTGTTTATGTCAGAAATTTGATTTAATTTGCATTAAAATTGAGTTCTGAACCATAGTGTGATTGCAGGTTTCAAGAAGTTTGTTGACAAAACAGCTAATAAGAAAAATTGTGTTTAACTTTTTTGTTTCATCAAATGGTTAACAATATACTTACAATACGGATACATCGCTTAGTGAATAAATGGATTTAAATTACACAATTAAATACGCATTACATGTAATATAATAAAATACAGGGCGGCAAATGAAAAGCATGGCGCTTGGATGATGAATGCCGGCCCTGATAAGCATACATGTAGACACGTGATATGTATGTGAGTAAAAAAGTACTTTATCATTAAGTTTCATTATTGCTGTTTATCATAATGTTACATGTTGCATATGTTGACGCAATCAGATGGAAATAAGTATTACTTTGCAAAAATTTGATCCTTTCCATTCTCGGAATAAAAATTTTGGTTTTAAAGAAGAAAACTTGCTGGTTGAATCTGTTTTGTGGATCAACATCAATTTTAACATTGCACGCGTCTCATTAGGTGTCAATAACTTCTTAAGAAGCAATCGCTTTCAAACATTTACTAAAGAATTTGTGGACAATTTTATATGCATGTAAAAACATAATTAGATTATTAAAAAACTGAACTATAGTGTTGAATATTATTGTTTTTTACAGTGCAAATCTCCATACAAGCGCGAATGTTTTACATGTGTATCTGCATCAACATTGACGAGCTAGAAAAAAATTTAATTCCCTGCAAATTGTAACTAAGATGAACTTACACAGAAAACAAAATGTATTTCTATATTACAATTTGTTACTAATTTCATATTTTCCACTGCCATCAGATGCTCAGTATCAATACCACAATTCTTTTGAAAATAGAATACGGCAGACTTTGACAACGATTTGTGCAGAAATAAAGTGTAGTCCTTCACACGGAGAATCATATCTAATGTGTAAAGGTGCGAGAATTCCCTATACTTCACAACTACTAATGCCTCAACTTTCGAGCAAAAATATTCCGAATATTATATATGGGTTGAGAGTAAACGATATACTATTTTTCGACGCAAACGAGCAAATAAATACTGACGACCGACCTCGAAAAAGGAATCACAGTCAAAAACAAAACAGATACATTTTTGCTGACTTCAGCTTACCCAAATATGCTACCACATATCTCCAAAGTATCGGAATGATGTCGGCCCACTCTGCATATGGAGTGTCATCAGCGTCCGGGGTACCAAATGACCTTCAATTTCCGTTGGCTTTGACATCCTTATACAATAAGTTGAAATACAACAATGGGAACATAAAGCCAGGAGGTAACTACCCAGATAACCATGCGGGTATTAGAGATATACCATTCATAAACCTGAGTCCACCGTCACCGACATTTTCATTTGAGCTATCAAAAAGTCATACTTTCGATTCTAAAAATTCGGAGTCAAAACCTAATTTCATTCCGGACAAATATTTAGATCTTTCGTCTAGTGCATCGCCAGTCCCTTTGCCAAAATTATTTAATTCAATAAATAATTCCATTGAATCAGCAGTACCTAGATATATACAGGAAGTATCAGCAACAAAATTCAATACACAGAATTCAGATATACACAGAAAAATACCCAAAGAACTGTTGCAAGTTGTTGATACAAATGTATTTAAAATGCCCATTACGGAGTTGACTTCCCATAAGTTGAGTTATTTTCAGTCTTCGCCGTCATCGAGTAGTAAAGATCAATTATCTGCTGAGTCACATACATCGCCTTACGCAGATGACCCGGTCATGCAACAATTTTATAACTCAATGTATAACCGACCAGTAGTGACAACACGAACTCCCGATATATTTTCTGAAGTTGCCAATTGCGCTCATCAGCTATTATCCAATCAAATTAGACACATAGGATCAAAACTCTATTTACAACGTCCTCCGTATGCATGCACATCAGGAAAATATGCAAGGGAGAGCAAGTATAACGAATTTAGCAATGAACCAAAATCGGTGCTAGTAGCACCATCAAATAAATATAGTAAAACCTGTCCACCAGAACCGCGGCTGCCGTTACCTTGCATTATTGTAACAATACCCTGCTATAATCCAACTATGCCATGCAGGCCATGCAACGAGAACTTTGTTAATCAAAACCCATATATGAGTAAGCCAGAAATTCAGGAGTATGTTGGTTTACCTTATCCTTCAAGTAACTTATTGCGGCCAAGGCTATTTCCACATTTTGGTTTTATTCCACTTTTAGGTGGGCTACTAGGTTCACCACGAACGTTAAAACCTGCATTGCATGTCACCCACGAAACATTTCATAATACGCATCCTGTCTTAGGGTCGACGCCATCTGGCTCGATGCCTCTTACATGCAAAGAATCATCAATGGATACTTCAAATATTTTGAGCCGGTTACGTTATGGCGTGAATGTTGTATCGCAACTGGAAGAATATCCAGCAACATTATTTCAGACGAATTCGTCAACTCAGCGTCCTTCAGAAATGGTGGTATCAACATCGCTTAAACCGATTGAGGTTATGCGAGAATCTAAAGAAGAGGCCACTACTTCGCACCTACCGCAGAATGAAATTCTTACAGCACCGATGTCTACAGAAGCACCAAAAGAGGATAATTTACAACCCCAATCACAATCTGATGCCGTTGCAGAGGAGTCGACCAAAAAAATTTTAACTATGATAGAAAAAGCTCGTCAACTGCAAATAAGGCACAGGCTTGATTGAAAACTTTAATAAAATCAATTTAGATTCATGATTTACGCTGACGACAGACAATAAATTTTGCATTTAAATTTTTCACACACATTGGCTGTCAAAAATCATCCAAACGTAACGTAAGCTGCATTCAATTTGAGAAGCAATTCCATTGCCAGAATGCCTTCTTCAAGAAAACAATGTAACTAACTAGCTTCTGAAGATAATTTCTCATTGCTAATTCCATTGTAGATTAACCTTTTAACATTCAGAAGCATAGTAATTTTGTTCACGAAATTCGCGCGCCAATGCCTAACAGGTGATAAATTTACTTGAAAAATAGTAGCTTTACGTGTAGAATAGTACTACATGTGCATTTTTATACATTATACTTACATATTTAATATAAAGAATTTACAATGTGTAGTGATATTTTCACTTAACTCATTATAGTTTTTCGTATTTTGAAACATTTCGCACTTTTTGTACCCCTAATAATAACAATAATTCTAGATTGGCACTTACACAATGTGTTAGTGTTTGGTCGAGCTTCTTCTCCAATTTGTGGCGTGCGCCATGATGTTGTCACACAAAGGGGAAGGACCTACAGTTTTACGCCGGCTCCGAACGGCGATTGTACTTTAATGAGAAGCTGTTTCTCGTGGCAGAATATACTCCGAGGTTTGCCATTGCCTGCGGAGGGGCAACCGCTATTAGAAAAAAAATTGTTTGTTTTTTATTTTCCGGAAAGAAAGCAAACAGTTTTAAATGAACGAACGGTATACATCATGATTCAATAATAGAAAGATTTTATAATAAAACAGTCTTCTCGCTCCCACACATAAAACATTCTCCTTTACTTGCGCAGAATATTGCTCACTCTACAGTTTCTAGTTATATTAGTAGTAAAACCAATAATTCTTCATACTAAATGTTCGTTGGCATCACTTTCGTTTGCGTAATTTTCTGGAAGACGTCTAGAATAGCGACCGTGTAGCTATAAATACATAACCAAAAATGCGGATTTGTAGCGCTTTTTACGCTGATTGCAACGATACCAACTTTATTTGGCGCAGGTAAAAAATAAAGAACATATAAGGGGTCACGTATTGTGCCTAGAAATATGTTTCACATAATTATAAGCAAAGTGGTACATATTTTTAGGCTCTGTTTTCTGCATAAAAATCCGCAGTTTAAATTGCATCTCACTCGAATCAAATCGAATTTCAGTCGACCACGGATGCTGTGATTCGGGCCCAGTTTTATGTATAGATTTTGACAATAAGCACCACCGAGGCGAAAATTCAGCTGCTCTGGTAACGCCACCTTTTATGAATCCGGCTTGCTTTATCCTTTACGAGTGAAAACTATATATGTATTAATGTTTCTTTTAAAGAAATCTACCAACCTCTACCATTTTTGGTATGTAAAATCGAAGTCCGTACGCTGGCTTGAACTAGGGCTCTGCGAAATGGTGGCGCGCACAGCTAGCCACTACACCACAGCGGCCGCCGATACCCCTAAATATCACATAAATTACATAATACACATATTTTCCCGAATATTTCGTTCAATACTTCTTTTGAAATACAGTAAAATTCACAAAAGCCATTTCACTATTAACTGCCTTCTTCTTCTTATTTGGCGCTGTAGTCGCCTAAGCGATTTTGGCCGAGTTCAACAAAGTACGCCAGTCGTTTATTTTCTGTGCCAACCGACGCCAATTGGAAATGCCAAGTGAAGTCAAGTCCTTCTCCACCTGGTATTTCCATCGCAGGGGGGCCTTTCTCACGAATACTCCGCCGCCTCATCGGATGTTGTCATTGTCCATGCTTCTGCGCCATATACCAGCATGGGCATGATGAGTGACTTATAGAGTGAGGTTTCGTCGATAGAGGACTTTCCTCCTGAATTGATTACACAGTCCAAAGTAGCACTTGTTAACAAGAGTGATTCTGCGTTGGATTTCCATGCTGACATTGTTATTGGTGTTATTACTGTTTCACAAGTAAACGAAATTCTCTACTTTCTCGAAATTATAACTGCCAACAGTGACGTGGGTGCCATGGCGCGAATGTGCTGACTGTTTGTTTGATGACAGGAGATACTTCGTCTTGTCCTCGTTTACCACCAGACCTATTCGCTTTGCTTCCTTATCAAACCTGGAAGAGGCAGAACGGACTTCGCGGTTTGTGTTACCGATGATATCGATGTCATCGGCGAAAGCCAGCAATTGCACGCTCTTGTAGTAAATGGTCTCTGAGCGGTTCAGTACTGCAGCTCTTTTTATCTTCTCCAACATCAGATTGAAGAAGGTACATGAAAGGGAGTCGCCCTGTCTAAAACCCCGTTGGTGGCGATGCAAAATTCAGACATAGCGGCGTATAGGAAACTCCTTTTAGTGCTGTCGGAAACGGGATTAAAGTCGACAAATAGGTGGTGAGTGTCGAACCTTTTCTCGCGGGGCTTTTCCAAGATTTGTGAATGCCTGGTCTATGGTGGATTTTCCAGGCCTAAAGCTGCACTGATAAGGCCCAATCAGTTCATTGACGGGGAGCTTCAGTCTTTCGCTCTCGATAAGACCTTGTAATATATGCTTAGAAGGCTGATCCGGCGGTAGTTGGCGCGAATGGCGGGGTCGTCTTTTTGTGGATTGAGCAGAGCACACTTAGATTTCAGTCGTCGAGCATGCATTCATCTGACCATATTCTGCATAAGAGTTGATGCATGCACCTTATGCTGGCAGGCTGTCAGCTCCTTCAGCTTTGTTGTTTTTCAAGCGCGTTATTGCTATTCGTATCTCGTCATAGTCAGGCGGAGGAAAATCGACTCCGTCATCGTCGACTGGGGCTCGGCTCTTCTTCTCCACAACTTTCCGTACTGCTACCATTCAGTATGATGGAAAAGTGTTCCCTCCATAATTTAAGTACGTTCTGAACATCGGTAACTAGGTCGGAATTGTTGTTGTGAAACCTTCCGTAAGTCGCCTAACTCTCTGGTAAAATTTTCGGGCATTCTTCTTGTCGGCCAGCATTTCAAGCTCTTCGCACTCACGTATTTCGGCCTTTCTCTTCTTATTGCGGAAAATGCGTCTCGCTTCCCTCTTCAGATCCCTATATCGGTCCCGCATAGCGCGCATTGCTCCCGCTCGCAGCGTGGCCCTGTAGGCGGCATCTTTTTTCTCTGCAGCTTCCTGACACTCCTCATCGTACCAGTTGTTCTTTCGGGCTCACTGAAATCCCACTACTTCTTCGGCGGCGGTACTTAATGAGCGGGAGATGTGGTTCCACTCAGTGTTGCCGCGCCCGAAAAATAAAGTTTAACAAAATCTTTCAAAAAATTTAACAAATCCCGTTAAAATTAAGCAACTTATTTAACGGGTCTTATTAAAACGAAAATGCTTGGAGTTACTGCTTGTTTCATCCTGAGCTTGGTTAATTGGTTATAGAAATAAAAACTAAGCAAGTCAGTAAGTACGGGCTCTCAAAGGCTGAGTTTTGTGTCAAAAGTAAGAATTTCAAATGAATATTTAAACGGCACTTAAGTTTGATTGTGGATTGTTGTTTAAATGCCATTTAGCTTTCGTTGGGTTTCAGATCAACTTTGTTTAAATATGCCAAACAATTGCCAGCACTGCTGCTTATTCCTTTAAATTGTTGTTGCATTTGCTTGTTTGCTTACATTTTCCGCTGAACAGCTGATTGTTTTAAGTGGGATTTGGTGGGATTGATTAAACAACCTACCAATCAATCTTGGTTGTTTGGTATAAACACAGGGTTGCATATTTCATATTTAAATAGCAAAATTGGCCATTTAAGTGCAGACTAAATGTATGATCTGAAAATGAATACTGGAAATTAATCAACAATCTCTACTTAAGTAGGCTATTTGAAATTGCGCCTAACAGTTGCTAAATTTGAAAACTATTACACATTCTTTCAACACATACTCCTATAATAGCCCTGTAGGGAAAACACGAACTAGTGAACCAAATTTCTGGTTCAGTACTAGTTCTTTTTCGCCAAAAATGAACCAGTCCGATAGTAACTAGTCCCGAACCAGTCCAAAAGCAGTGAAATGTCACACTTTCAATAAACTATTTTATTTCAAATTTTAAAAGCAGGGAAGGTTATCATTATGAGTAAAATAATAAAACGGAAATAATTATTATTTGATTTTTATTTTTGGCATTACAAATAATGATTATTTTATGATTTTTATTTTTTCGCGCAGAGATTATCATTAATTTTGAGTTTTATTTTTCCACTTAAAAATAATGATAATTTATAAAATTGAAAAGGCCATACAGACGCAACCTACTGAAATTTTGACCTGAAAAGTTTGGGTCTTATTACGCTTATAAGAGTGCGGCTACCTCTCAAAAGGATACGTCGGTAATCACGCTGGTATAGTTTTTGAGTTGCTTAATAATCATTATACTTAGTGATTCCATAAACAAAGGCCAAGATCCTGAAGGACAATTGAGAAAGGCAATGCAGTTGCAGAAAAAGAGGCATTCAAAAAAAGTGTCAAAATAATTACCACTTTGTCCCTAAATTTATTTAAAAATGCAAGCCACCAGAGCTACCTTTTTTTTAAGAAAAGACAAATTAATTTTTGTTTTATGCAATCCAGGACAGCTACCTTAATACAGTCAGTCAATAAAGTTTAGGTACAACGAATTTTTTACAATACGGGCAACTATTTTTTAAATATTTTAGTTTTCGGTAATTTTTTATAAAATCCCCAAAAATCAGAGTTCCAAACCTTGTGCAAAATTTAAGAAAATTCTGCAAAATTTCATTAAAATAATTCACTTTCTATTTGCGCTCTCTAGAAAAAGTTGAGTTTGCAGTTTTTTACCCCATTCAATTTTAGTATAATGAAGTGCAAGTATGAGGAAGCTAGGACTTACCAAACAACATCAAAAAATTGCTAAATATCAATGGTAAGTCCTAGCTGCCTCAAACTTGCACTTTGTTATACTAAAATTGAATGGGCTAAAAAACTGCGTACTTAACTTTTTTCTAAAGAGTGTAAATTGCAATATTTGGATGGAAATTTGCGGAGTTTTCTTTAATTTTGCATAAGGTTTGGAACTCTGACTTTTGGGGTTTTTGGTGTAGAACTAACCATATTTTTATAAAAAATTAGGGAAAAATTAAATATTTAAACAATAGTTGCCGGTATTGTAAAAACTTCGATGTACCTAAACTTTATTGACTTTACTTAAAAATCAGTATGCTTAAATTTAGACAAGTAAGACAACGTGAACTAATAGTTTTACTTTTAAGCAGAACGCACTTTTGTTTTTTACTTACTACTTAAGTTTAAT